AAAAAAAATTTAATAGCTAATTCAATATTAACAATTAATAAGATTATGTACATATTAAATAAAAAAATATGACATAATTATATGTGTCATTATATTACTGTACCATGTACATATTGATTAATTATTATATCGCAAATAATATCGCAAAATTATACATAATATAGAAATCATAAATAATTTGAATAATAAAATAATAACATTACAATAAAAAACGATATATAGCATCTCTTATGATATATTAAAGTCTGGATATAAAGGTTTCAAAAAAGAGAACATGTGATATCTGCATGCTCAGTTAAAGATAATATTAAATCGAATGTTTATATCTGTGATAAGAAAGCTGAAAACATTTAAGATGCTATGTATTTACAATGTAGCGATTCAGAGATGTGCATGATAATAGAGAAATCCATTAATAACCAGATAATTATCATCTTATTAATTCATCTTAAAATCTAAATCGTACAGCATGTAAATTATTTATTATTTATTATTTATTATTACTATAATTTATTAATATGTTGGTAAATTTTTGAGTGTTTATTTTCATTTATTTAATAATATTTGTATATACGTTTTCGTATAAAAGTAAATTTTATGTCGACTTCCATCATAATTAATTATCTTCTGTTTTTAATCATTATAACTTCAACTGTATATAAAGACATTTATGTAAAACTGTTCATTGTACATCTATGTCAATTTGTATTTTCAATTTTATGCACGAATTCATGCAATGATATACGAGATAATAACAGGATATACAGATTTATTACATGAGCGTTGCTCAACATAGTGGAATTTTCCAAGATATTTTTCTTGGATATACTATTTGTAGATGTACTATTCATGGCGCCAGTTTTGAAGCTGGCCCGATTCCGACATGTCGAATGCAATTTTAGTACATGTGTATATAAATGATGCAGTCGCTATCTCCAAGTAAACAAATTCAATTTGACACATGTCCATAGGATGAAACAAGCGAACAATTTATCCATATGTTGAAAACAAATATTTCTTTTCAATGAAAGTTATTTTTTAACGAAAAATAATTTCAACAAATTAATTCATTATTATCTTATCTTATGTTAAATATAAGAAATTTTACTTTCTTGTAACCTCCCCCTTTCCTCTTTCTCTCTCTAGGGATGAGTTAAATATAATTTTTCCTTTATAATAGCCTTCTGATAAAATTATGTTTTTTTCATGATTAACTATAGAATTCTTATGCTAGTATCTCTAAGTGATTAAACAGAATTCTACTAATTGTATTCACAAAGCTTACAATATATATTGCATATCTTATATATATTGCAGATAAATTTATTCAAGTAATAATTTCTTAAAATATCTTACGAAAGAGAGAATTTTGGACTATAAAATTTCTTCAATATGAAAAAACTTCGTATAATTTCGTATAACTTCAATATCTACATCTAAGATATTGAAGAATAATTACATCAGTTCTATATCTGATAAAGCTATTTTGCCAATATAAGTGCTGTACCTACGTTGCGCCAACTGAAAAAATAATCTTGGCCGCAACGTTCAATAAATACTAACATTCAATAAATACTCATCGATGTTGTGACATTGATCGTTAATATTCTTCTAGGGAATCCTTTGATTATTTTTCCCAATTCGTTACCGCGATGTAAGTATTTCCTTAAACAGTCTGATGTAATTTCGACTATCATCAGGCAACGATCAATAAACTTATAATCTCAGAAACTATCAACAAAAATCTCAATTTTTACGAAAGGAGAAAACTTGAACAAATAGTTATTGATTCTGGAGAAATCCAGACTGTAGAATATCAAGAAAGAAAGTACAAATAAAAGATTTGATATTTGTTAATGAATTTATCTTTATATGTAAAAATGTTAATTGTTAAAAGAAAATCATATATTTTTCTGTAATGTCACTTTGACTTTTAGTTTTTCATTTTAGTAAATAATAAAACATGTCATCAAATAGACAGGATATAAAGTCTGCTTCCACTTCCTATATTTTAGAAATAATTGAAAATTACGAAAAATGAAATACATTTCAGGGAATTACTTTTTTAAGAAAGTTGGAATTTCTCGAAATGATTGAACACGTATTTTGAGATTTCGAACTATTTTCTAAATAGGAGGTGGGAATAGATTTCAGATACTAAAAATTTTTATCTTACATAAAACTATCACATTTAATCTTTTAACAATACACATAAATCATTCATGTCCAAGGCATTTCTAACAGTTTTTATTTCTCATATACCCACATAACTTTTTCAAATTTTTTTCCATTGTCTACATAGCAGAATAATTTAATAGAGACCTTTAAGAACATGTGTGAATTTTTACAGAGTCAGACACAAATGATCTATGTGTGCCGCTCTAAACGGTGCTGAAAATAAGTATACCGTTTCAAGGTTAAGTATATTTTTTAGTTATTATTTAGAGATAACTGCAGTATTTTTTAACGTTTAAGTTAAATGGCAATTTCATAATATAAGTACAATTGTGCATAGACATGATAAGCATAGACTGTATTCCTATGAAGTTATCATTATTGATTTAAAAAGAATAGCCTCTCTCTCTCTCTCTCTCTCTCAAATATCTAAAAAAAAAGTAAAATATCTAAAGAGAAATGCTGATAGAATTCAATATATTGCATTATTTTTCTAATGGAGCACAGATGTTAAGATCAAGGAATTTATATCTACAATCTATATCTATAATATTACGTTTATGATACACAATGTACCTTATTTTATTTAATGTTAGTAGTGTTAGTATATAAATAATTCTACTATAAGAATTATCTATTTAGAAGGAAACTAACATAAGAATTACCAACTGTTACAAAATAAGTAAATCCTATTTAGCGGCGAAACGTTTTACAATGTTTTAAGAAAGATGCGTATATACACATATTATATTTAATGTTACGCAATTGTTTGATTTCCAGTATATATACAGCAAATGTCATCTTCAAAAAAAATATATTCATTATTACAATTTCTACGAAAATATTATAAGCTAAAAAAATCTTACAAAAAGATAGAATGTTAATAATATAATATGCACGAATTATTTAAATAATATAAAAATTACTTCATTTATTTCACTGGCCCTTCATCTCGACATGATTATGGTCTCATTGTGTTTTTTTCACAAAATAACATTTATTTTAATTTTAAAAAACTCTACAGAGAGAATCGTCAATTGTCAATTTAAGAATTAAGAAATTTGCAAATGTAAGAGTTAAATTTGTAAAATTCAATACCGTAGGTCACACGGCATCGAGTCTTTCGAATTGCAAATCACGGTAAAAAAATAATATTTGATATCTTACCGATTGTCGATATATCCTCCGCGTGCATTCTATCGCTGTGACTTTTTGTGACCGGTGGTCCAGCTGTAGTCTGGTTTTTATGAACCAAATCGGATTTGTCAATGTACACGCGGTGAAACCTGCAAAAGTGAACGACCGTTTATTGAATCCATGCACGGTGTTCAGTGTTTTGTGAATAAATTATCGTAGTATTTTTTTATTTTTATAACGTTAATTTGATTAGAACGACAATTTATTACAAATATTGCTACTCGATAAATATTTTACAAAAAATAAATCTACTTGATTAATTTACCTAGAAATAAAAATTCAATATAAAATTTTTCTTTTAATATTTAATCAGTATGCTGAAACCACCTCTAATTAGATAATATGTAGACATCAATTTTAATGTTTTTTCTCTGATGTGATACTAAAATATTTATTAAGGTCTAAGAATCTTATATTGAGAAAAAAGCGTAAACTCTTTTCCTTAATTACCTTTTACATACATATAATATCATTTACATTTGATTATATAAATAATATATGCATAGAATTGATTTATTAGTTCCTTGACCCAGTTTTCCGAAAGATCGGCAGAGTATGGTACTACTTATGCCGCAGCATGTCGAGAATATGTGGATTATGCATGTGAATTATGTAATCAAGAATACGCGTCGTTTAATGCGCAATTTATAGCACGCGGTGCCTTGATTATGTCTCACTTTTAACGTTACCTGAAGTTCCACTTGACGCGGAACTTCGGAGTCGACGAATTAGGAGTGTGAAAAAAAACCGATTTAAAAGAAGCAAAAATTCAAAATAACAAACATCGATCATGTACGTCATTACGCAATTTTATATATGATACATTTTTCGCGTAAATCCGAAAAGATTTCACGCGTGACAAAAAGATTATTCAAAAGCGAAAAGAAAAATTAAAGGATATTTTCTTAGAAATTTGCTTTTCTTCAAAAAAGCAAATTTCTATCGTTAAAGCAAATTGCTATCGTTACATTTAGAAATGCAACTGTCACATACAAATTTTGTTGCAATGTCATGCTGCATACATAATCAAAGTATCATATAAATGCTAAGTATCATATAAAAATATTAATCTCTACAATGTATTAGCAACATATTAAATATAAATATATTAAACGGCTTTAACAAGATTAATCAAATACATCAAAATAGAATCTTTAAACATTTTAGGCTAAATGCGGCATGAAAATTATAATTATAAAATTACGATATGTAGCAAATAAAATCTGATTTTTGTAAAGACAATATAAAAATATGAATTCTTGTTTGAAAGATTTTATAAAGAAACATTTATAAAAATAAAATTTTTAATGTATCTCTCGAAAAAAGAAAACATCAAAGAAGAAGTATAACAGTGGAACATCTGACGAAATGTCAGATGACGAATCCGTAAATGTCAAATGTATCTACAAATATCCAAAAAAGTGGGAGATTCAATTCTTAATAAATTCATTTATCAAGAAATAAATAATAAATTTATAATAAAATAATAAATCTTAAAGAAATAATCAATTTTAATTAAAATAATAAATTCTTGGCTTGATAATTTTTGAGAATTTTTTAAATTTATATTTTATTAAACATCTTATCTAAAGAAACAATATAATTTATTTAAAGAAGACTTGAACATAATCTTGAAATATAAGATTATAGGGATCAAAAATAAAAAGCAATGTTATGTGTAAAACAGGCCTTAAATGGGACTGTTTGTCATTAAGGATTTTTCGATGTGAAAATGATGCACAGAGTGGTTATTTCTCTTTTCTTTCTGTATATATTATCTTCAATTATGACGTAATTCCGGTTGCACTGTTGCGGTCAATGCATATGGTTCTTTGATGATAGTTACTGTCGCTTACATTCGACCGCAAGACATGGAAGTCGGGCATTGAATTACGTGGTGAGGAAGGTTAAAAATAGATGTCGAAAAGGCACTCTCACTCGCCGACGAAGCGACGGGACAAAAAGATGGAGAGAGAAAGAGAGAAAAAGGAAAAGACAAAAAAGAGAGGAAAAGAAGAAGGTCGTCGAACACATACCTGGTACAACTTCCTACATCCGAAAAATAATTCAAGGTTGAGTGTAAAAGTCAAGAAATATAGATACATAGATGTATTTCATATAAAGGAGTATCTACGATGGATTTCATTATTACTGAGTTTGCATCATTCTTCCGATATATTGAAGTCTTCCGCTAGCAACTTTCTCAACAATATAAAAACAAATATGTTAATATTTCAAAATTCTAGAGCCCTAAACAGTCATTTTCTGGCATCTAATTTAAAACCGCCAATAATTAATACGTAAGATATTGCTTTCACAAAATTTGTACACTAATAAAGTTTTAATAAAAATGTTATTTTTGAGATAGTTATCGAAAATAATAAGTATTATATACTATCTCTAAAATCTTTGGAGAGGAATTTAATTCTAAAGAGTGACAAACAGTGATAATTGAGCCAATGTTGAAAAAGAATGGTTCAATTGTCAATTATTAAGAGTGAGACTTCACTCTTTAGATTCGACTTCAAAGACTTTAGAGAGAGTACAATGATATGCTCCAAACAATTGTTGAAGAGAAAATGATTTTAAGTATGCCCAAAGGCATGAAATGCGAAGTAAACGTTCAAAAGCAGTTTTTATCATTTGTTTACGCAAATTTCCGGTTAAGTGATTCAGCATAAATAATGATGTCATTGTCTATGCGTGTAGATATTCGTATATTGATTACAAATCATTGAATGATGAATCCGTGAATGATGATGGAAATAAGTAAACAGAGTGGACATCTTAGCGTCGATAAATGCGTGTTACAGAAGGTTAGCGCAAACGCGTTTTAAAAATAGGTTTTATTAAAACGCTTCAAATTCGCAAAAGCAACACAAAAAGCAACAAAAAAAGTAAAAAAGAAATATAAGATGTAAATTCTTTGTCCGATTTGCATTCTTTCTTTTTTTTTTCGCTAAACATATTTATTAAAATTTATGATTTAATTTAATTGAAAAGATAATATGCAAAATATTCAAATATAAATGCAAACATGTCCATATAAAAGAAATAACAAAATTTCTATTAGCATAATGATTGTATTTATTTTTCGTTATAACATTAATTCAACACACACACACACACACACACACACACACACACACGCGCGCGCGCGCGCGCGCGCGCGCACGCACGCACGCACGCACGCACGCACGCACACACACAATATATATATATATATATATTACGTTGTCTAAAGTCTAAAGTATATATGTTACATTGTAGTCTTTAGTACCATAAATAACAGTTAATATCAAACATAAATAAAAATTAGAAAACAATTAAACAAACTAATTAAACTTATAACTTTGTATTTTTTAAATTATCAATAGTAATATATAATAAACACAGTCTATTCGTTTTTTTTATTTCGGTTTTTTAAAAACAATTCAGTCTTCATTCATTGAAGAAAACATTATAAGAGCTATTATGTATAAGGTATTAAAGATTGGAAGAGTTACATAAAGTATTAAAGGTAAAAAATGAAAAAGAGTTATTACAAGACCACTAAAATTAATTGAAAAACATATATAGGATTTTATGTAATATCTTATATGTATACTACATATATGTATAAATGTACGCATAATAGGATTATTATTCACAGACGAGATAATTCATACTCTCGTGCAGATGCAAGATGTGAATGATACAAATGACATTCGATTGTCAATGAGTAATTGTGCTAGAAATTAAATTCTATCTTAGAACAAACATTATCGTTGATTATTAATTAACGTTTGATGCAATGTAAATAGAAACAAAAGAATTGAGAACACTGGAGTTGCTGACTGTGATTGCAACAGATAATATTACCATTACAATTTCAAAATATAGTGAAATTAATTTTATTTAAAATTAGTATAAAAAAAAAGTAAATCACACATAATCATGTGAAAAATATCAATTGTCGAACTATTTTTAAATATTTTGGATTTTTAAAAAAATCGAGATTATAGATAGATTTCGTATTACAGACATTTGAAAACAGAATTCTTGCGATTTATTAATTAAAAATTGTTTTCTATTACTTGATTCAATGAAATTTCGACTTAAAACGTGCTTGAAGCAACATTTAAACGACTACATAAACTTTTATTTCTATAAAAGCAATTTATTATTAGAACATTTCTTTCAAAATATTTATATAAGAATTTTTATTATATCTCTCTCTATATATATATTTATCCTATACAATTTATTCTTGATATAACTTTTCTGGAGTTACTTGATATAAAGACATTTATGATATTGAAAATGATGTTAGCGAAGTTTCACTAAAATCGAATTTAAATAAATGGAAAAATCAATCGTTAAGAAATTCTTGAGCGGTCTGTACTTACGCAAAAGCGGCGCAAATGATAAACAATCCCATCGCGAGAAGAAGAGACACGCGTCAATTGCGTGGCTCCCCTGCGAACAGATCTACAATAAGCGGATCGTGTTCGCCAGGTCGGAGTTCAACAACTCGAATGATAAATTCTTTTATCGTCTGCGAAATGGTCTTATTGGCTATCATTTATCGGGTGTCTTTAAACAAATGCACTTCCATTTCGTATTGTGTAGGTAAATAGAAGAGAGAAAGTGTTTATCGAAAAGTGCATTGTCGTGTTATGCAATAATACTTTCATCGCTTCTGTAGCGGTTATTTCGGGCGAGAAATATAATGAGATAATACATAGAATCGTTAAAGGCACATAAAAAAATGGCACATAAAAAAATTTAAACAACAACAGGCTTATCTACAACAACTCATCAGTAATAAATCAGAAGCTAGAAATTGACCAATCACAGTCAAATACGAAAAGAATAATCGACTATGACTGGTCAATTTCTAGCTTCTAACTTATTATTGATTTATTTTTAATATATTCTATTCTACATGTATATCTATATATTTTTTTTATTACTAATTGCTTATTGTAGAAAGTAGCCTCTAAAACGAAAACGAAATGCGAATTGGCCACAGTAGAAACCGTAAACTTATAATGTAAGGCTTACGTTGAATCTGTTTACATCGTCGTAAGCTATGTTGATTTCCTTGCAGCTTATGTCTTAATGTTTAAATTTTTTCATGCTAAGTCGATACGTATAAGATTGTTTTATTGCTTGTTTTCTTTCTTGTTGCTATGTTCATTGCATTTGCAACAATTCAGCGTATGTAAACGATATATGAAGATATTGAATTCATGAAACAGTATAATCGTTAAATATTAGAAAGATTTGTCCAAATAACAATCAACTGAATCTTTTAATTTATAAAAGTGCGCAAAGTACTTTCCGACTAAATATATCATATGTATCATAAAAGTTTGTATAGATAATATTGCATAGATAAATTATATTTGGAATATAATTTTAAAAAGTCTCTTAATCCTTTGGAATTAACGTCAAAATTGTAACATAGTTACTGACACGCTGACTCTGTAAGACTATTTTAATTTATGTTAAAAGGCACTAATTATTTTCAAGGAACCAAAAAGAAATCGAAATGACAATATTTGTGAAAAAGAACAAATACTAATTGTAAGTATATTTGAACAAAAATAATCTAAATTTGCAGATGTAATACATAAATAAAATTGTTTGACATTTTTAACAAAGAGATTCATAATTGAGTATAAGATCTAATAAATGCACTATCAATTTCAAAGAATTAAATATTTGTTGATTTTATGCTTTATGTATTTTAATAAGAAAAATATAAAAACTCATTAATTTTTTAATATACTTAAAAACTTTTTGCTTAAAATGATTAGCTATAATATATTTTATGATTGTAAACAACTATAATTATTATTTCTAACTATAAATAGCTTAGTGACAATTATGTACGTATATTGCTACAAAAGAATATGATATTTTAGTTTCCAAAGATAAGATATTTAAAACTAGATAATTAAAACTGAATTTATAAAAGCAATTCAAATTCAGCCATTTCTTCAGCAATTTTTTTATCTTCAACTTTTTATCTTTATCTTTTTATGTTCAGAAGACAACTCATATTAGCTATTTAAATAAAAGAGAATTTAATGTTTTTTACATAAAAAATTTATTTGAGTTGATCATTATCTATTTCGAGAACATCCGATAAGAATAGAAAAAAATAAGAGTAATAATAAGAATAATAAGAAAATAAGAGTAATAAGAAAAATAAAAAAAAAGTATAATTAAAAGAGTGCGTATAATTATACCAGCGGGTATGTACCGAGTGTCCTCCTGGGTTATCGACATCAAAAGAGTTCGAGCTGCGCGTCAGAATCGCAATGCGACGTCCGCACTTCGATATATCCATTAAAGATAAACGCATGAATGACGTGAATACTTTTCTCCTCGAGCATTAATCGCGCGTTTATCATCACTTTAGTGATTGGATTTGTCGAAGGAAATATAAGGAAACAGAGCAACATATGATATTGACGAGATAACATGATATATATGAGAAATAAAATCTATTTCAGGCTTTATCACAAAACATTCTAGATTCAATATTTTAAGAAAATATTTTTTATAAGTTTCTTGTTTTCTTCAACAATCAATTTTCTCAAATTCTGCACAGTATAAATATAAAAAAGATTATTTATAGCACTGCTATTTGTTGTGGATTTATTTTAATTATATTATTATAATTATCAATCATATTTTATTTGGCGAATATTAGGCTATGATAGCGATAAAGAGATAGTTTATTCTTCATTGCATAATACGAAAATAGCTGATCAAAGCATACGAGAGATATGTATAGTGGCGACACTTATAATGCAATTTTAAACGAGATAATGCGTAATAAAAAAACAAATAACAAACCTATGACCATTTCAACCAAGCTAAACTGTAGGTTGAGTCAAAGTAGGTGACACGGAAAAAATTATTATAAAAAATATTGTCTTAACGATCACGAAATAACGAGCATGAATTGGCATCTATCGATTCATGAATAAATATATAAATTTAATAATATATAAATTTAATAATATATTCTTGCATGATATTTTTATACAATATTGTCATATACTATGAAATTTTATATATACGTTATTAGTCAATACGGTGTATTTATTTTAAATAAAAAATGTGAAAAATCTAGAATGCATTTCACGATCATATTTCAATATAACTGTTTCTATTATATAATTCTATAATATAATGCAGAAAATACATGAATAATTAAAACGGTTAAAAAATGGAATAGACTGGACTTGAATAGATTAAAGAAGAACAAGGAACATTTAAATCTCAAAGGTTGTTGTTTAAAAAATATTATTATTAATATAAAATATTTGCTTAATTTAATGTAAAAAATATATTGAAAATTTAATTTAACAATAA